ATGGAGAAACGGGTGCCTGGACAAAAACTATTGAAATTTAACTTAAACTTAGTAATGGCATGTACACACCCGACCTAAAAAAAACAAGGCTTCCTTTAATTTGTACGTTCAGGCGTTCTTCAGACGTTGTATTGTATCTCATCTGTTCGAACATATCTTTTCACTAATCATATTCTTCTCATCCCTGTAAAAAAACCGATCCTATACTTCACGTGTGGGACATCTGAGGAAAGTATCGCGGCGTGGCCAAAATAGGGCGTGCTGAGGCCTTTGTCAAAATTGTTGGACTGACTATATTTCTTGTAGAATCGGATGCTTTTAAATTTAAATTATTCCCAACATATATATAACAACAAGTATCACTTTTATAAACTTTTATCAACACAATATCAAAGTATTAGTAAATAATGAATAATGTTACAAAAACATTATTAGTATAAAGAAACGTGACAGACTAACTGGCGTATACACGCCAATTAAAACTTATTTAACACATGATATTGCACAGTTTACAATAGGGTGGGTTTTGGACTTGTTGTTTCTCCACATGATGGTTGTATGTGTGCTTAAGAAAAAGAAACACCCGGTTAACACAGAAATGTGGAAAGTGTGATTTTACAAAGCCCCCCCCCCCCCCCCCCACAAAAAAGCGAAGGATATGTTCAGTATGTGTGGACAATTTGACCCTATAAAATTGTTCTGTTAAATAAATGTTAAAGGTGCTCTGTCAATGTGCAACAGCTACACACGAAAGAAAGTATCTTGAATTCAATCCTTGCTTTCACCGGCAACCAATGAAAGTCGTGCAATGTAAGTCGAAATTTCGAGTTAGTAAGTCGAAATTTCGAGTTAGTAAGTCGAAATTTCGCGTTAGTAACTCGAAATTTCGAGATAAGTAAGTCGAAATTTCGAGTTAGTAACTCGAAATTTCGAGTTAATAAGTTGAAATTTCGAGTTAGTAAGTCGAAATTTCGAGTAAGTAAGTCGAAATTTCGAGTTAGTAACTCGAAATTTCGAGATAAGTAACTCGAAATTTCGAGTTAGTAACTCGAAATTTCGAGTTAGTAAGTCGAAATTTCGAGTTAGTAACTCGAAATTTCGAGATAAGTAACTCGAAATTTCGAGTTAGTAAGTCGAAATTTCGAGTTAGTAACTCGAAATTTCGAGTTAATAAAAAACATACACCTGGCACTAATGCTCTTCCGTAGATATTTCCACCTGTAACGACAACCGGTGTATGGTTCTTTTTTTCTTGCATATTGCGTATATATGTATATAAATAATGTTTTGGAAATGAAAATAGACTTAAAGTATCCACTAGCCCATACCACAACCACCAAAACCTCACTTTCAGGGTCAAATAACTTAGAAAAGTGGCAAGTTAAAATCAAGTTTTTTATCAATTTGATTCATTTAATCATAAAATTTCAAGTTAACAAAAATTCTCTTCGCTAGTTTTATTTTTTTTAAATCTTTGCCTTTGTAAATAATATGTACTCCTCCCGAAAGTTTACGTCTTAAAATGGAGATTTCTGTATTCTGAAAACGACTAAATGACCAACACTATCTCCAGACTTGGAGCTTTGGCGGAGTTGTGAATGTAGCTTCCGCTCAACCCAGGAGACGTTGGTTCGAGCTCTTTTCGGGTCACGTGTTTCCTCATGTGACCCAACTACTGGTTAGTTCCAAGAAGCGAAATCAAAAGTGATACAAGATATAAGTTTCAAGGACATGTATCACAACTTGACTTAGGTATAGGCCTACATGTATATACCAATATAAGTATCAGTATAACAAGAGTCAATAGCCAACTAAGAAAAACAATTTAAAAAATCAAATTCTAAAAATATCAATGCCAACACAATGCCATTTATCACGTTTATAAATACATTAAATGTTATTTTATTGGTGGATAACCATTTTTGTTATTCTCGAACTCATTATAGCGATAAGATGTTCGGAAATGTCTTGTTTTGGGAACTTAAGTTAACCACTCAGTCATATTTACTCTATATGTAGTTCCGCAGCGAATTGTGATTCACGAAGATGTCTATTATCGCAAACTGTTTTATAATTATAAATCTAAAAATACAACATTATCTTCTGACGGTGCAATTTTATTTCTGTTGAAGGTTTTGGGGGCCGGATTGACCTTTGTTGGCGTAGTTGTCAAATTTTACACTGAATTGATAGATGGCTACCTTACACCTATTATCAAATTGTTGTCGGCAGGGGGCGGCACCGGTGCTGATGTTTGGAAGTTGTACAGCATGACCGCAATCGCCTTAATAACCTTTGGAATAGCTGTTGTTATATCAGGTAGTTTTTTCAACCCTTAGCCTGCTGGAGTCAACAATTATTTGAGCCGTGTCACGACAAAACCAACATAGTGGGTTTGCGACCAGCATGGATCCAGACCAGTCTGCGCATCCGCACAGTCTTATCAGGATCCATGCTGTTCGCTTACAAACCCTATTACAAGTACAGAAACTGATAGCGAACAGCATGGATCCTGATCACACAGTGCAGATGCGCAGGCTGGTCTGGATCCATGCTGGTCGCAAACCCACTATGTTGGTTTTGTCGTGACACGGCTCATATGCCTTTTGTCACCAGTATAGAGCCAGGCGAGTGTGCACAGCCTGCACGTCTGACCAGAACCTAATCTGTTGGCCGCTTAAATTTTTGTATTTTGTTATCTCAAATTCGATTGAATATTTTGAACGGATTGTTCCAAATGGACAAAGCCATTAGTACTCGTGGAGTGCTCGAACGAATTAACAATTTAATTTAATGTAACACTTTACAACAATCAATAAATTTCAATTTCATTGAGTGCAAATCAAACAACACTACTGCACATATAACCTTCCGACTAAAACAAAATAGTCCTAGATTTATTCTGTTAAAACAAAGGCAATATTAGAAAATAAGTATTTTCTATATCGAATCAAGCATTACAGTATATTTCATTTTAGTATTTTGTTTGAAAAAAAAATATCAAAATTGCATTTAAACAAGCCTCGTCTGCACTCTTCTTATTGTTTGTGAAATAAGTCTCATGAAGCCAATTTTCATTTGTCATGTCATCGTATAAGCGTGTCTGTTTGACTGAAAACATTAACGTATAGATTTAGACTATGCTTAAACTTTTTAGACTAAAAGAATGGCAGCGGGATATGTGTTTCACACTATATCATAAAGCCATCCGACGGTTCTTTCTGTTTTTGCGGATATTCATTTTGCTAAAATTATTGTCAGTTATTTGAACTACGAACAATATCTTAAAATGCGAATTTCACTGATTTTCTACGGAAGCGTTCACAGACCTCCTGCAATATGGGCGCGTTGTTACACCGCATTTGACTTCCTCCGGGGAGTTTCATTCGTCGGAACCAGACTACAATTGAGTATTGCTCCGAACAAAGGGATGCTTAGTTCGTCAAGATGGTCCATTTTTACATTTCATCAAAACCATGGCTGAGTAGAGCACACAACAGATAAAGTATGATTCAGCGTCGTCTTTTGGCGCCATTTTTGGTATCGTCTGACTACTCGTACCCAGTCCATGATGTGGAGCTGTAGTCTATTAAAATTTTGTTGAAGCGACGTATCATACTTTCAAAATCGATGCATGTTGTTTGTGAATAATTATCTGTTCGATAACGAAATCATACAGCTTTCAAAAAGCTAAACATGTGATAAAGTTCCTCGAGAACTACTTTCGTTGTAACAGCTCGAGCTGTAATCCAAGCAATAACGTGCGGATTTGTTTGGAAAAAATAGCGTTAATAGCCGAACTCTCTTCTCATCTAAATTGTCATCTTTGATTGATTATAGCTCTGTTTATGATTTTTAAAAAATGTTCCTATTTTGTGTTTGACTTTTTATAGGTTTTATCGGATGCTATGTGGCAGCCTCGCCTAAAAGAAAAGTTGTAATAGCGGTTAGTACAAAAACAAAATAATAATCCTTTATTTTTTCATTACTTTTATTCTTTTAGGATTTTGTTTTTTTTCTATATATTAGTAAATTTCATCGTTCAATCTGTTATGAACATGTAGCGGTCTGTTGCATTCATTTTCAGGAATGCCATAAATACTAGTACAGCATTTGAATATTTTAATCTCTTTTATGCTCTAGATTGATTTTTATTGCTAATTATGTTTTAAAAAATAGATGATAGAATAAACATATTCATTAAAATAAATGATAGAATAAATATATCCATTAACAAAAGAAGGAAAGGTTGGTGTGTTTCAAATGAGCATTTGGTATAACCAGACGAGTCTGCTTACATAAGCAAAGTCATTTTTTACTTTAACCATACTACATGTATTTTTTCCCACACTGTAGTCTGATATCGTTACCATGCACGTTACCAATGACGTTGTTGTTTTAATTTTTCAGTACATGATTTTCACGACTGTCATGATAGTTATGCAGTTGACGTCTGCCGCCTTGATCTTCACAATGAAAGTAAGTACATGTATATCAAACTTTATGAAAGCTTCAATGTATAAATGTTCCATCTCCGTCAAAGTAAGGACCTAAACCGACAAAACAGTTTTCATTGCAGTATGGTGGCTGATTTGGCGCTAGCGACAACACAATAAAGCGCCAAACGGCGCGTAGTCGCGTTGTCGTCCTGTCTCTAGCGCGGCACGCCAAACGGCGCATTGTCTTGCGGCGTGTTGTCGCGATGTCACATTGTCGCTCGGTTCAAACTGAAGGTTTGGTTTATAAGCCAAGCGACATCGCGACAGCACGCCGCACGACACCGCGCCGTTTGGCGTGCCGCGTTAAAGAAAGGACAACAGCGTGACAAAGCGCCGTTTGGCTGTTTGTCGTGTTGTCGCTAGCGACAAGACGAAAGTCCGACAACGCGCCGTTTGGTGGCTAGCGCCAACTAGAGGCACAAAAGCGTACCAAATCAGCCACCATAGCAAAGCCTCTTTCACATACTTAAATAGCCTACTTGCCATGTGTTTCCGTATAGGTTCGGCATTCTTGGTCATTTTACGTGTTTTCACAGGTCAAATAAACGTCTATATACATAATACATGTTGTGTACTATTAAAATGTCGGCATAATTCGTCATTATCCGTGTGTTCGAAGATCAAATGAGAGTGTACAAGACCAGGATCAACCACCAATCTCGACTGCTCAAATGAACATAAAATGACAAGGTTTTGCGACCTCAAATGATTTGTTGGTGCATGGTATAAGATTTTATAGGCATGCTTTCGAAATGTTAACGTAGAACACATACTGATTGTTTCTTAATGTCCTAACGGTATAAAGGATAAAATATTTCTATTTTGTTAAAATGTCAGGTTTACTTTATTATAAAAACGTTACAACACAGCGGTAATGTTCCGAAAAGTCGTATGCGCGATACTTAGTTGGCCTGGAAGTTTATTTACGAAGAGGTACGTATATGAGATCATGCCAAATGTACAGGAGCGAAATGTGATTATTTTGCATTTAACTAAAAGTAACAAAATTTCTATTATATATAACATAATATTTTTAAACTGTCTATTGCTTCCCAGCTCATGTGCAAGTTCTGATGTATTTTTTAGCAAGTAACTGTCATCTTCTCTCACTCTCACTGTAAATGAAGAGAGAAAGAATATAAAAAATATTGCTTCTTGAACACAACTTAATTATCTTGTGCGCACTACATAGTAACTTGTGGCCACAACATAGTATCTCGTACCCACGACTTAACTATGTCGTGTTCACGACTTAGTAACTCGTGGTCACGACATAGTATCTCGTGCGCACTACTTACTTATCTCGTGCGAACTACATAGTAACTCTTGGCCACGACATAGTTTCTCGTTCGCCCGAGATAAATAAAAACACTCACACATGTCACCTCAGTGCCACTGTAGTTCTGTATCTTTGAGTTAATTTTAAATATTCGGACCTTACCAACTCGTACTATTATATTGTAGGTTGAGGACGATATCAAAGATACATTGAAGATTAATCTCGTGACGAGTTATTTTGGGGACGAAGCGAAGGACGAATATTCTGCCGCATGGAATTACGCTATGGTAGAGGTACGTCATCATCCTCATCCTCATCATCATCATCGTCGTCATCATCATTATTATTATCATCATCATCGTCGTCGTCATTGTCATTATCATCATCATCATCATCATCATTCATATCTTCATAATCATTTTGCCAAAAACTGTTCTCGAACCTGTAGAATGAATTTGTAGATAAGTACGATTAATATTTGATTTAGGAAATTATCAGCTAACTTCTTGACAAAGACGGGTTTAATCCCTCGAAACGTTGGAGATTGATAAACTTTGTGCAATAGCTAGTTATTTATATTAATTGCTTCAAAGTATGCTGTCGAACCGAAAGCAATAAGCCAAAGCCAGCAGTACAGAGTATTGCCAGTATACATATCCGGGTCATAGCTTTCACAGAAACGGTGGATCCATCGCAGCGGCGGTGGAATATTCGTCGCAGAAGCGGTGGTTAAAAAATGACCGTTTACTGTTGTAGGTAAGTTTAAATACTCCAACGCCGCTGCGATGGACCCACCGCTTCTGCGAAAGCTATGGCCAGTGTGATTCACATCCGGGCAGTCTGGCCACCTCTATACTGTTTATAACAAAATCTTAACAAGAAAAGATCGAGCCTTGTGCTACAGTCGTGATGTCGAATAAAACCCTACATAAAATAGCAAAATAACATTTGGGAACATTTTATTCTGTTTACGTACAATATTCATATGTGTTAAATAACAAAGATATTTTATGCTACAATTCTTTCGTGAATATGGAAACAAGATAATTATATTGTTGTTGTTTTAAAAATATTTCACAAGATATAGTTTATATACCTTTTATATTTCTTGGCACAAGTGCTTGATTCCTAAAATGTCATGGAAAAGTGCCAGTTTTACAGAATCAGCTTCCATAAACAAATTGATTTTACCAGCGACCACTTACGCTGGACACAGAATAAAGTTTACATAGGACACCCATATGGTTAACCAAACAAAAGTAATAAGTAGGGATTTCGAGACTGTATACTTTTATTGACATTTACTTTGATTTGACAAAATGACTTTTTCATTTCAAAATGACAAAGCTTATTTCATTGTTACATATAAAACAAACGTATTTATGTATGTAAAGTGATGTGGTATCTTTTTGTATCCATTTAAGTGACTTGAGGAAATAAAAATGACATTTTGATAACATCAGTATAAGTGAAATGTAACATAGTGATTATCGTTAAAGGACCATTAAACCTCAAAAAGTGTTTACATGTACCTTTATTTCTCAAAAGCACTTATTTTAAAGAGGCTCCACTGAGGTCAAAAAAAAACATAAGATTTGAAATTCTTACATAGAAAAAGTGAAGCACTTAAAAAGTAAACATCTGCAAATAATAATGAAACATATGCTTAGAATTAAATTGAAAATTGATGTCCTGTTCTGTTCTTAGTCCGATTCGAGCAAAAAAGCGTTGGAACAATTATCATTTTTAAATCATTTTACATAAACAAAAATGAGCCATGTCATGCCAAAACCAACATAGTGCGTTTGCGACCAGCATGGATCCAGACCAGCCTGCGCATCCGCGCAGTCTGATCAGGATCCATGCTGTTCGCTATCAGTTTCTCTACTACATCATGGATCCTGATCAGACTGCGCGGATGCGCAGGCTGGTCTGGATCCATGCTGGTCGCAAACGCACTATGTTGGTTTTGTCGTGACGCGGCTCAAATACTGATTCTGGAAAGACGTGAGGAAGGAATGATCTGAAAATTTGAACACAATTTATTAGACCAGACCTACAGCAAATTGTATACAAATGTCGGAAAAGTATTTCAAGTCCAATTATGTAAAAAAAAAAAAATCAAAGTGGAGTCCCTTTAAGTGTACAGTTACAATTCCATCGGCCATACAGCTGTATAATCTTTTGTTTCTTGTATGTTTTGGCAATAAGTACTGTTAAAGTGCTTTATTATTTTGAATAGGAGTCAAAATACCTTGTTCTTTACATTTTGCTTCCATTATTATAAATTATTCCACAATCCGCGCGCTATTTTCTTTTCAGTTGATAAGCTTTTAACATGTTCGAAATCTATTATTACAAGGCAAACAAAATGAAATATATTTATTTCTATGGTTTTTAAAGCAAAATCGGGATGGTTTTTGTTTTCATTTGTAAACACGATGTACAGAGCCTTGTTTTTTTCTAGTTTAGTTGCTGTGGCGCAGAGGCCGCTGGGGATTTCAAATTAACGCTCAACTGGGACCGGGAAAAAACGGGCGATAACGGAACTTACATAGTCACAGTTCCGGTCACATGTTGTAAACTCCCCGGGAAATACCCGGATTTTGGAAAACCTTATGATGAGAATTGCACAGTGAAACCGTCCTCTGGAAATTCTTATTATCAGCAAGTAAGTACATGTATACAAAAGTAAGAATATACATAAGTTTAATATAGAATAAGATATTGCGTATCATAAGAAAAAACAACTCTTTTCATTATTTCGTTTCAGTTAACATTTTATGTTAAAATGCAAGAAAATGATATGATTAATCATGATATGTGCGCATTCAAATATTTGTACAATGGAAAGTATGTCGATCCTATTATTCCCTGCGGTCTGGAGACCGCAGGGTATTGGTACGCGTTTAACTTTTGAGGCATGGAGGAGCACGTGACCTGTTTTCGGTACATGGAGTAGCATGTGATCTGTAAACCGTACATGATTGGTTAATTGACCTTTTCTTAAACCTGGCTAAATACCGTTTGCCGGTACGTTACGGATTTACCTCGAGTGACACCTAATTAAGAACGTGATATTTCTAATTTTCTATAATTATTTTACCGTTTTAGGTGGAAAAAACTTGAATGATGTGTTTGAATATTATCAATGTTTCTTTAATATCTATCTCAAATTTTACAAAAAATATATTGTTTATACTGAAAATCTACAAAATTAAAATATTCGTAGTGGCATCTGCCAGAATAAATATAGATATTTTCTGCGTAAACTTGTGTGTTTACTTTTTTTACTCGGAATTATTCATAAAATGGTAGGCCTATTTAATCATTTTCATAAAAAGAAATAATTGTTTTATGTTCGACCTTCTCCGGTCATCAACCGTCACCAGTTTCCAAAGACCTTCTTCTTTATTGATCGATTATTGTCAACTATATTCCTGATAATTATTCCCCCTCAAACAATGTTGAAAATAATTAAATGGAATATCTTTATATCATTAAAAATGTTCCCCGCAGGAAACCATTTTACTGGTACTAAAGTTACACGCTTAACAGCTCGCAAACCTTATTCTTTGTCGCAATCGCAACTACTCGGCCCTTTCCGTCAGTCTTCGTTTTATATTATCACATCTTAAACCACGTGGTAGAACTACTTTCAATCCGTATTGTTTCCGAGGTTATTATAGATAATAGCCGAGGCAGTTCCGAATGTCTTTGTCGGTGATAAGGGTGTAAAATGTCAAGTGTCCAACTTACAATGTACTTCAAGCGAGCAAAACACTTTTAAAATGTTGCTATTTCTTGACATTTTAGACAGTGTTTAAGTACACATAAAGACAGATGTGTTGAGAGAATATTGTTCATGTTTATAAAACGCAACACTTTAATTGCAAGTTTGTACAACAAACCACTTTGGTTGCATTTAAACGTAAACTTCGACCTATATTGCCAAATTTCACCTTGTACTTTATGAAACATTTATTTACCATTTTTAATCACAGCGGAACAATCTCGCTGAAGTTGAATGAATTGCTAAAATGTTTTGCACCGAAGTTCACAAGAAAATAGGGTTTACGTGCATTCTGTTCAGTTTTTTTTCTTTTTGAATCAGAATTTTACCTTTTCATGTTAATTGTATTCTACTGAAGTCGGTGCTAGGGATCATGTGGCCATGGTAGCTTGCTGTCTCTCCAGTAGCCTACCGCTCAATCATACCAAGTCTTCGCTATTTTAATTGTGTCGTTTTGAACGTGTTTCTGCCCCCCCCCCAATCTTGCTGGAAAAAAAGTTATTTTTATATCAGGTAATCTGTACTGTAGGCAAGACACCGGCTGAGAATTCTATTTCGGGCTTGCAAACAATAAACTTTTGCTTGCAACTGATTTTAAATATAAACAGTTAGTAGTGCATGTGTACAGTAAATGCGTTTATATGGATTTTAAATTAAAGTTATGATCAATAGTAAATTAAATTGCCACTTATGGAAAACTCTCTAGGTTGACTTTCGACGTGGCGACATTTACGTCAGCACTGTTTAATTAAATATTCGAGAAATTATTAACATATTGATAAATATAAATGCCAAATATTAAATTGCCACAATCCGTTGAGCAGTCATGATAATGAAATTGCTATTTGAACTGTATAAATGTAGACATTGTAGGGTTTATTACACAGCATATTAAATGCCAAAGGACAGAATTGAAAACATTCTTCATTTTCACAATCATAAAAAAACTTTCGGCGGGTCTCCTTACTTTTGTTAACATCTGTTTTACTCAAAAACAAATTTCTGGCATTCATTTGATTATGAAAAAATAGCGAGATAAAGAATCATTAAGTACGTCAAAAATGGCAAAATTGAAAATTTGATTGACCTAATTCATGGACGGTACTATAAAGTGCAAGCCGCCGTCCATGCCCCCCCCCCCCGAGCACCGGTTTTAGAAGAATTTAACTTTAAACATGAAATAGTAAAACTTGGAGTAAAAAGAAAAATCCGAGTATGTGTTCATACGGAGGTTATCATGGAACCCAAACTCCTCGCACTGATTACCTCCCTTGGCAGAATTGTAATAACTGCCTTCACAGACGTCACATGATGATGAAAGTCACATGACGTAACGTCGAAATTCAAATGTAAATATCGACCGTTACATAGAAAATTTAACGTCATTTTTCTCTTTCTGTTTTATTTTTAACTTTGTTTACCTACGTCCGTTATATTTTATCAAAAATTTATCAAACGTATATAAAATAATGAAAAATAAATTAAAAAGCTAAAAATATAAATAACCAAATATTGATATTTCAATGTTTGTGATGGCAGAGATCTCTGTTCTGATAAGGGGAGATCACTGCGTAGGAGATTGCATGGAACCTTCAATGTGACACGTTCGTGACATTGTATGAAAAGCGGCGTATGATCCCCAAGTAAAAGAATGTGCGCGTGTGTGATTTGTTTGTTTGTTTGTTTTTAGAATTGTTACGAGAAATTTGAGGAATATCTACAGTACTATGAGATTTTAATGAGTTGTTCCAGTCTAGCAACTGTGGTGTTTCAGGTAAATGTTTTCGTTTAAAACTAATTGTTCTATTAGATAAGAATATTGTTCGTATTTAATTAATATAAATTGACATTTTAAAGATATTGGAGGTTCCTATAGTTTTTTCTACAATTTTATACTTTATAGATTTTTAAGTAATCACTCCGTCCGTGCTTTGCCTTGTGCCCTGTCCTACTTTTTTTGTGTTCTGCTGGGCTCCTTGCCTGGTCCTGTGTTCCTTGGTCGTGTTGAGGTTGCGTTCATTGAACGCTGCCCTTCCTTGATGATCTTGTTTTTCATATTTTATAATCATATTTATATATTTTATTTGAATTATAGTATAGGAAAAAATTCCAGTGTTTAACGTTTTTATCTTTGTTTGTAATGATTTAAGAATTATTATTTGCATTGGCATTGTTTTTCATATGCCATTTTTGTGTCGACATATGGGGATCACTTCTCCGTCGTCTGTCTGTCCGTCCGTCTGTCTGTCCGTCACAAAACTTGTCCGGACTACTCCTCATAAACTACTGGTGCAATTTCATCCAAACTTTACAGGAATGACCAGTACCAAGTCTAGTTGTGCATATTGTCAGCATTTTCCGGTTCAATGATTTTTGTCAGAGTTATGGCCCTTTAATAATTTTTAATTTTAAAGTTTGTCCGGGCTACTTCTCTTATACCACTTATGAAATTTCAATGAAACTTTACAGGATTGATCTGTAGCTCAAGTCCTTGCGCATATTGCACGGATTTTCCGGTTGAATGATTTTATAATTATGATATTAGGCACAATTTGCTTCTTAATACATGTTTATCATATAATAATTTAGTTTTCATTGCTTTATTTTGTAATACCATCCTCATTTCAGACATTTTAATTAAACCAAAATGAATTATTTTTACTTGCAGTGTTTGACTCTGACAATACTGGTCGTAATTTCCGTGGAAATGAAGCGAAAGAGAAATAAGATTAAACAGGCTCTCGAAGAGGAGGTTGTGCCGATGGAATAAAAACTCTTTATCAGCATAAAATAATACTAACACAGAAATTAAAATGATATTGTACATTGTACATGGAAATATATATTATTTTTAAAATGAGAAACGTATGATGTATAGCTATAAATCATCTTGTTTTTTTTCAAATGAAAATCAAAAAATGAAATAATTGCATAATAAAATGTAAACACATTGTTTAAAGTAAGAATTGACATGTACTTTGAATCAGAAATGTTTAAGAAGACAAAAATGTGTTGCACTTATCGGTAGAAACGTGTTCTTTAGGTTTTAATAGTTGTTCATAGTGGAATAATTAATCTGGATAGCTGGTCTATATAAATAAGTCAAATTTAGTCGTTTCCTGCCTTAAAAACATTTTTGATTGTTTCTCTTGATCAAATAAACGCTTATTAGACATTTATTTAGCGCGGTAAGTGATAAACTGTGACGAATTTTCGCGAGTTTTGAGTGATTCATTAACTAGAATATCATTTGATTGTAGAGCACATATTGCATAGCTTATATATATTTTTAAAGTTCATTCAAGCCATACGGTTTATTCAAATGTTTCCTCAATTCAGTATCTCTAAAAACTTTACTTAATTTCATGTAAGCATTGGCGTTTGTTTCTTTGTATTTTTTATCAACTGACTCTTATAGACAAATCTTGATTGTATTAAAAAAAAACTTCAGATAGTTTACTCTTTTTCAAAGCATAAGAGATAAAGCGTTGTTATTCTAAAAATAACTTAATGGTATTGTCAAAATTATTTACGAATGGCATTTTGTACAGACTCAATCAAACCGAGTCTGCAATTCTTATGTAATTTTGTTGCGATTAATGCTTCCGAGGGATCACTTTGTTTCCAGATTTTTATACTTCACAACAGCGGTGTCAAGTGCTGTGTGGCAGCTGTAAAAAGTTGCCCCGTACACCACTTTAGTGTTGTTATATTTTTCTGGTCCTTAGGGTCCGGGATCATTTATGCCAGCACTATTAAGTGTTAAGGATTGAGTACCGCTAAATTTTGTTGTGATTAATGCTTCCGAAGGATCACTTTGTGTCTAGATTTTTATAATGTTTGCATCATGCAGTATGGTTCTAAGACTAAAATTGAAAAATATTAAACTAAAAATATAGGACGAAAGCCAACGTGTTAACAAATCTTCAAAAGCTCATGCAGGATTAGCACTTACAGTGATTAACAAAAAATGTTAACATACATTATCCGTATGTATTACATATAGATCTGTTTCAACAATGAATTATTCAAATCGCTTAATAAAAGAATGATTTTTGCTATGGGAAGCTCGATTTATATTTAATTTTGCCACAGCCAATACTAATAGAACAAGAGCCATGTCAACATGGCCATCCCTCGCCGAAAGTGTTTGCTCATTGGAAGGATGTATATGTGGTACAGCAGAATAATTCAATTTTAAGAGGTATTTTAGTAATGAAAACTGATAGCTGAAGTGAAACCTAAGTAAATCTTTTCGTAATGAAAACTGATAGCTGAAGTGAAACCTAAGTAAATAACAAAGGGCAATAACTGAAAAATTATGCAGGATAGAGTTATCATTCTTTTCTGCTGCACTCCTCCTCAATGAGATCTATCCACCTATGAAGTTTCATGTTTATATCTCAAACGTTTTTTTAGAAATGCTCTGGACAAAAATTAAGCACGAAAAATAACAAAGGGCAATAACTGAAAAATTATGCAGGATAGAGTAATCATTTGTGTGTGATGGACTCCTCCTCAATGAGATCAATCAACCTATGAAGTTTCATGTTGATATCTCAAAGCTTTTATAGTAATGCTCTGGACAAAAATTAAGCATTAAAAATAACAAAGGGCAATAACTGTAAAATTATGCAGGATAGAGTTATCATTCTTGTGTGCTGCACTCCTCCTAAATGAGATCTATCCACCTATGAAGTTTCATGTTGATATCTGAAAGGCTTTTTAGTAATACTCTGGACAAAAATTAAGCATGAAAAATAACAAAGGGCAATAACTCAAAAATTGTGCAGGGTAGAGCAAAAACTCAAAAATTGTGCAGGGTAGAGTTATCATTCTTGTGTGCTGCACTCCTTCTCAATGAGATATAACCACCTATGAAGTTTCAAGTTGATACCTCTAACACTTGTTGAGATAAAGTCCGGACAAAAAATATGAAAAATAACAAAGGGCAATAACTCAAAAATTATAATTGGTAAACTTATCATTCTTGTGCACAGCATTCCTCTTCAATAAGATCTATCCATGAAGTTTCATGTTGACATCTCAAAGACTTTTTGAGTTATGCTCCATTCAGGTGAAAAAAATAAGTATGAAAAATAACAAAGGGCAATAACTAAAAAATTATGAAGGGTAGAGTTATCATTCTTGTGCACTGCATACCCCCTGAGTGAGATCTATCCACCTATGAAGTTTCATTGATATCTCATAAACTCTGGACAAAATTAAGTTTGAAAAATAACAAAGGGCAATAACTGAAAAATTATGCAGGGTAGAGTTATCAGTCTTGTGCACTGCACACCTCCTCAATGTGATCTATCTTCCTATGAAGTTTCAAGCTGATACCTCAAATACTTTTGAGATATGCTGCGGACAAAAATGTCGGACGGACGGAGACTATTTCTTTATCCCCCGCCGCTTTTCGGCGAGGGATAATTAACACAGTCTTACTTGTTTTGTGAAATATTTAAGTATTAATGGCAGCTTTAAGTAGGATGTAGATCTAAGATTTATTTTATAAGTAAATAATTTAAGATCAGTGAAAGTTTGTTTGGTGTTTTTTAATCTAAAATGAGACTCCATTAATGGTTATTATAATATTAGTATTAAAATATCATGCAATTTAAATATCCGATCCTAAACAAGTCAAAAACATAAAGGACAAAATCAAGACAAGAGGGTTATGATGGCCCTGAGTCGCTCACCAGAAACAACTGCTTTTCAGTGTTGGAAATTATCCATTTTCAATATTTTTTTATATTTAATTTGAGCCAATCAAATTAATATGAGCAAACTTTATAAAAGACTACCTAATAATGCTACAAAGTTTGGGGATCATCTATCAATTTGTTCTGTAGATATAGATGTTTATAGGTATTTCTATTTTTAGCTTTAGCGGTCCCTAAAAGGGACCAATCAAATTAATATGAGCAAACTTGATAAAAGACTACCCAAGAATGATAGAGACAAAGTTTGGTGATCATCCATCCATTAGTTCTGTAGAAGAAGATGTTTAAATGTGTTTCTATTTTTAGCTCTGATGACCCCTTAAAGGGGCCAGTTGAAATGACATGAGCAAATTCAAGTGTGACTGTCACAAGGATGCTAGAGACTAAATTTGAAGTAAATCTGCCCAGCAGTTTCAGAAAAGAAGACGATTGTTGACGAATGACGACGAACACCGGACGCCGGAGTATCCCCCTTTGATACTATATAATAGCTCACCCTGAGCCTTCGGCTCTGGTGTGCTAAAAAGTCTGGAAGGCGAAGATCTACCGAGAGCAACGAAAACAAAAAGAAATAAATGGAAATCGTAGCCTCGGTTTATATCGAGTATATTCAAGACAGGTCATGGAAAGTTAAAAATCTCTCACCTCCTATTGAATAAATTCAAATTACCATACAAAACCACTTACCTGGATAAAATAAGTGCGTGCGTTATACATTTTTATGACTCGGTAGCCATTTTGTCAAATTTGCGACCATTTCGCTCGCTTGAACCAAGTGTGCTACCACATCACGTCCTGTCCCTTTAACAATATAATATCTGTGCCAGAAACGAAATCCAGAGCATTCATTTCTATCTGTTTCGTTCTGTAGTATTTAAGAACTTATTAAAATTTTAATGAGAGTTGTTGACAATTTATAAGATTTCATGCATGTAGTTTACCTCAAAAGCTGTATGTCTAAGTGGTTGAATCTTAGACATCACATCGTGCGTTTGTAAAATAACCAGAAAATATCGAAAAGACTGATGTTGTCTTGTCTCTTTCATGACAAGAGAAAACGCGGATGTTTGTTTCTCTAAACTTGAATCTCAAGAATTCATGCTTTCTCGGGAACAAGTGTCATTGATGCAGTGTTATCTGAGGTCCACTTGCTTTTGTCAATCTATTAACCTGAATTAAAAATCGTATTTGTGAAACTTTCTCTAAACTGAATTTCAAGAATTCATTCTTTCTCGGGAACAAGTGTCATCTGAGGATCACTTTCTTTTGTCAATCTGTAAACCTGAATGAAAAATCGTACTTGTGAAACCCATGATGAAGTTAAAATCAATCTTTATTATGAAAGAAGATATGCTGTGGAAATCATTCAAGTAGAAAGCATTTGGAGAGAACTTACAATTGAAAATGATAAGGGTGTCCTCATCTGTCTTTTTTATCACATTCCAAACATTAATGTAAAATTGAAGATTCTTTTGTTCTAGCAGTTGGTACTTATATTAATAACAGCTAATGTTTATTATACAGTTCCCTTTGTGGCAGAGGGGTTGCCTTTGAAGCATTAAGGCATGAGAATTGCAGCCACCGTTTAACCGTGCGTTATCGTAATAGACGACTAAATGGGTTCGAGTTTATGGATTGGATCTCTCAGTTCAATCAGGTGTGGTGGTTTTTACCCCTGGTGTTGCTTTAAGTTTGTAATACCAAAGGTTAACCAAACATATTTTTCCTGTTTGGGCGCCATGTGATCTAAATTGTCGTGATGCGCCGTCAAACCAACCAACCAACCAAACATACACTTGATTTTCATTATGATGCTGAACACTAGCGTGATCTAGCTGTCACCAATTTAACATGAAATAGACTATTTAAGAACCCAAGCACGTAACAGAATCTTCCTTATTATTTGGCTTAGGTCAATTGACAACGTCGACTTTATGCAAGACCAGTTTTAGCCTTTCAGTCGAATGATGCATACCTTTCGTGTACACATAAAATGAAACGTCACTATCACATTATCATAAACAAATAGTGCTTCTGCTTACTAATGTTTAGTTTTGCATTTTAGTTTCACATGGTCACGTAAACATTACTTCAAAACCCTCCATTCTATCTATATAACATGTTCATGTCTCTCTGTCGAATCTTCAAAATACACAAGTGGTTAAAAACTTGACACAGTAGATCAATTTATTCAAAGGAGAAAATCTTTTATATAAGATTGTGT